TCCTCCACCTCCGCTGGGCAGTTCAGGCAGGGGCCGGAGAAGGGGAGATCTGTGCAGGTTGGTGTCTGGGCATGGTGAGGAGGAGGGCTGAGACAGAGGGGAGGCAGAGCCATCCAGCACTGGGAGAAAGTTGGTGCAGAGGCATTAAACAGAGAGAGAAATTGCTATAGAAACAAGAAGAAATGTGAGGGAGAAAAACACAGGTTGGAATTTAAATAATATTGATCAGCCTCAGAGGCAATAGCTATAAAGATCTGTCACCTGTAGGAAAAATATCTCCACCACCTTGCTAGAATTACTCTTGGGCACAGGCTCCAACAGCCAGAGGGACAGGATCCTGACTGCAGTTTTGGATGGGTATGCAAAGAGAAGCTAATGGATACTGCATAAATGCGAGGTAACCTACTTATGGAGTGGGCAATGTTCAGCCATGATCAGAGACTTCAGTGTGAGCACAGGAGGTTGTCACTTTGATGCTGCAAGAAGTGAGGGCTTTTGAGTTCCTTCACGGAAAGGTTGTCTCCAAGCCAGCACAGGAAAAGGGATGGAAAAGAAAATCCATGGAGACTTGTCTAGAAAGGAGTAGGGGGAGGGACACAGTGCAAACAATGAGAAATAGAAGGCAGTATGTATTGAGAGGAGGGAGTAGAGCATCAACCTAGCAGTGCAGCATGATAGGAGCAGTGTTGGGCCAATTTTGTGCTCCTGTGAAGACACAGAGCAATGTTGCATGTGTTGTTGGTTGTACTTGGAAGCTGAGCAGATGCATTCATATCCTGACAGCAGGCAGATGCCCTGAGAGGTGTGTGCAGGGTGCTGCACAAGCCTAGCTTTCCCTAGACTATACAGTGAATGTCACAGAGCACAGGAGCTGCACAGTTTTAAAGATCATCTCTACATCCTTAGTTCTTAAAGTCTTTTGGACTGTACAACAGGTTGTACTGCCGGACACAAATCCTTCCCCATATAAAAGCTGGACTTTGTCACAGAAATATGCACTAGCAAGAGTAGTGATCCATCTCCCATTGACACCGGGGCAGTTTGCACCAACAAAAAAAGCATTCCAAACTGATCTGGCAGTCTTAGCAGTAACGCCTAACCTATCTCCAGAGCCTCAGGTTTATTGCTATCAGATCTCAGCAATGATGCAGCCCAGTGTGGAGAAAACCAAATAGGTAGGAATAGCTGAAAAATTAGAATCGGATGTAAGGGATATTGTTGATCTGTAGCAAGACTGTGTGTTGTAGTTAAGTAGGGATGGAAGATATGAGCAGATTGCCATTAAATGTCTCAGGCTTCTTCTGGGGTTACCACTCATGTGAAAGAAAGCAGCCACAAAGAGCTGTCCATGCATTGCTTACTTGGCCAAACTGGCTTACCGAGTTGATCTAGATCTCCTTTGCAGTCTTTGGAGAGTAAGAAAGACACCTTCAAGGCCCACTGAGACCTTAGCTAAGCAGAGCCATTGTTCCTCCTCACCTCCATGGTCTTTGCAGTGTTTATAGAGAAAATAGCTGAGTGCTTATGTCTGGGTTGGATGAGCCCAAGCTGGAAGGAAATCTTGCTCCAGCTTAAACACAGGCAATGAATGTCTCCCACAATACAGAGAGATCCCTAGAGTTTGGTCAGAAGCTGGTGTTCAGAGCTTCTCTGTGACAGTGGTGTTGGTAGGATAGGACTACTGTGGTGACGGTAAGTTGGGAATGTTGCAAGGACATGACTAAAGTCATGTTTGCTCTAACTGAGGCTTTGGCTGAGATTCATTTCCCCTCATTTTACAGACTTACAGTGTAACTACCTCCATCAAATCTAGTCACTGAAAGTCCTCATTATAATCAAGAGAGACATAGGCCCTGTTTGGCCATGATTCACAGTCTGATCAGAAAGGGTCCTTTGGGATGAACTGGGGACAGCAAGCCCTGTTTCTCTCCACTAAATCCAGCCTGGAGTGATTTTCTCAGATGGAGGTGTTGCATTTTGAAGCCTAATTAGGGCTTTCAGCCATTATCTCCATTCAACGTTCAAAGAGAATAGTCTCAGGCTTCATTTAGATGTTTCAAATAAGAAGATTTGGAGGAATATTGGCATTTACCAGGTGCATTTGGCTATGGTTTACTCCAGCAGAGCAAGTTCCTGGTCAGTGTTACCTGCAGCAAAGAGATTTTGCCTGATCTGTCTCTGTGTACAGGCCCCAAGTGCTCAGGAAGAAAGCTTCCTCTTTACCTCCAAGGCACCACTTCTGAACTAGGCTGTATATACTTGTCTTCATAACCTTAACACTTTTACTCACAAATTTACTTCAGCAATGCCCAAAGTTTATACCTCTTGCCAGCAAAGTGAATTGCTCTCCTTAAACAGATGAGTTTGGCCAGCATCCAGTCTAGCACAAATGCCTAGCTTGCCTCTCAATTTCAGGCCACTGGTGAAGTTAGGTTACTCACCTCATAAGTTAGGCATCTAGCTCCTCTTCCTAGTCAACAGAGAAAGACATTCACCCGTGTAGCCCTCCAGGTTAGGCAGACAGGATGACCACGTTTGGCTTTCATTTGAGAGTACGTTTTCTGGTTTGTTCGTTTGTTTGTTTTGTTCTTTTAGCCTCAGCAAGTTCTGAGCCTTCATCTGTACATACGTGTGTGTGTGGGCGCACGTGCGCATGTCGCATCCACAGCGTCTGGAGGTGTGTGTGGAGGACAGGCAGGGGGATGGTAGTACCCGCTCCAAAGCCTCTGGTCACTGGCAGGTTAACCTGCTCCTTCGTGCTCCAGCTGTAAGGGAAAATGTTATGTCCAGTCAAGGCTACGTCCAAGAGACTCACCTCAGCTTGAGGGTTGCCTCAGGCTGGCACAGGTGGGGTGGTGCCTATGGTCATATGAGCAGTGCCCATGGTATTGCCACCCCTGGCTCTGTGACTGGTGCCGTACAACCAGAAAGCCCCGGGGGGTGAAAGGGATGAAGAAGGCCCTTTTCTCATCCTTATGCAAAAGCCAGACCTGTATGGTTCACACTACTTCTCCTTGGGTACCCAGAGACACAAGTGCGCAAGTGACAACAGCTCTGCCCTGGGCCATCTTCAGAAAGACAGTTTTCTCCCTCTTGGCTTGAGAAATAAATGTGAACCCAAATCCTGTATCTCCCTAGGGGCAACCAGTCTATTCCATTCACCCAAACCCCAGGAAGCTCAGGCTGACACTTCCAGCTCATCCAACTGCAGAATTTTGGGGCCAGGCCATCAAGAAGGAGTCAACAGCCCAAGGCAGCAGCCAACTGTGGGCAAAGTATGGAGCTGAAGCCAATGCTCAGTTCAGGGCTTAGTTCAGCACCGTCTCTTGTCAGCTGAGCATAACAGCTCTAGCCAGAAAACATGTTTCAGCTCAGAAAAAATAGAAACAGACAAAAAAAGAAAAAGGAAAAAAAATAATAAATTTTTCTCTAGCCAGCATGCATGACTTCAGGATGAGAACTGCCAACAATATTCTTGTGACACCCAAACGCGAAGTGAAATTTTAGTTGTGTGCAGTGACTTTTTAGAAATAGGCTGGGAGGAGAGATATGAGCCCTGCCAAGGTGACAGAAAGGCAATACCTGAGGAACAGGGTGCAGGGCTGCCGAATGAGACAAATGTATCATTGTGTGCAGTGATTTTTGGTGTTTACTGAGGCAAAACTCCCTGGGCCAATAAAGGGACATTTTCTGTGGTAGGAAAGGAACAGAGTGTTTCTAGAGATTGTAGCAACCAACCCCTGGCATCTTTTTCCTTTTCCTTTTCCTTTTCCTTTTCCTTTTCCTTTTCCTTTTCCTTTTCCTTTTCCTTTTCCTTTTCCTTTTCCTTTTCCTTTTCCTCTTTTCCTTTTCCTTTTCCTTCTATTTTTATCATTATTTTTATTATTCTTTCCTCTTCCTTTTTTTTCTTTCACTTTCATCCTTTTGTTACTTTTTCCTCTCCTCTCCTCTCCTCTCCTCTCCTCTCCTCTCCTCTCCTCTCCTCCTCTCCTCTCCTCTCCTCCTCCTCTCCTCTCCTCTCCTCTCCTCTCCTCTCCTCTCCTCTCCTCTCTTCTTCACTTTTTTTTCCATTTTTTTTTCAATTCAGGCCAAAGCCAAACACCAAAGGAGTAAATTTCCCTTCCTTTAATAATGCTGATTTAGGGACCATCGTGTCATCTGAGTCCTCCTACAAGTCTGCTTCACACACCATACCAGCATTGCTGTTTCGGAGCCCACCGTCCTGAGAACCACTAAATGGACATGCAGCAATCAGCAATAGTCGCTTTTCTTTTTTGTTTCTTTTATTTTATTTTCTTTCTTTTTTATTATTATTATTTTTTTAATTCTCAGTAGCCAAAGCAGCTCATGGTCTCTTACTGCCCAATGACTTTAAACTTTCTGGGATGTGATTGCATTAGAGCAATGCTTGCTCCGGAGTCCATCCGAGGAAATGGCAAGGCTCCCGGCGGAATTTGGCTAGCCATCCCGTGAAGCCCCGGAGGCCGGGGGTGGTGCGGGAGAGGCTGGTGCTAACGAAAGCATTCTGGTTGGCAGCGAATGTATTTATTTTCCAGACTTTGCAAACCGATCTGTGTCTGCGCTCATTCATTCAGTGCATGCTCTCCTCAACAGCCGCTGCACAGCGTTCTGTTACTGTTCACTGTTGACCGTGTGTCTACATTTAAGTGTGTGTTTTATGTGTGTGTCTCTGGCTAGGCCTCCTCCATCCTTCTTTTTTTCCTTTTTTTCTTTTCTTCTTCCTTTCTTTTATTTCTTTCTGTTCAGTTGGTTTGTTTTGCTTTCCTTCTTGTTTCGTTTTCTATAGTTTAACGGCAAGTATTTCCATTAGAGCTTTTTGATTGATGCTGTGTTTGTATCTTTTTTTTTTATTATTATTTTTATATATATCTTCTTTCCCTACCTTTCCCTTTTTCCACACTATATATAAATATATATATATATAAAAAAAATCTTTTCTTCTTTTGTCATTCAATCAAATTCCAACAAAACCAACCAAGAGCCAGTCAAATCCACCACAGTCTCGCGCTGAGCTAGGAAAAAAGTTCACGTAATGACATGAAAGTGGAGAATACAGTCCCCCAGGCCGTAAGTTCAAATCAACTCGAAGTTGAAAGTGTGACATGATGGCGTCATGTAACAAGCTAAGAATTGGTTGCATGACATGCCGTCAAGTTTCGTGCAGGTGCCGTGATTGAAGCATTTTTCTTGGATGTTGTATCAGTTGATGATTGGCCAGTCATGATCACATGTGCCTTTTTTGACTTTGTGCTGCCACAATTTTTTGCTGTGCTCATTTTCGTTTCGTTTTTGGTGCTTGCAGTGGTTTCTTTATTTGTCGTTTGATTTCTCGTCAGCGTTTTATGCTTCTCTAGATGTCACATAGAAGGAAAAAAAAAAAAAGATGGATTCCTAATTCTTTAGAAAAAAATGGGATTGTTATAACTGTATAGATAATTTGGAAAAAAAAATGAGAGAAAAAAAATGTGTGGTTAATTTTTTTGCACTGAAAATCTTGTGATTTTATTTTTATTCCAGAGAATTGGGGCCTTTTTCAATTGACATCTTTTTTACCCCTCAGGATATTTCAAATCACTGTCCAAAAATTAAAAAAAAAAAAAAAATTAAATTAAAAAAAAGAAAAAGCAAAATGATAGTAACAGTAGTTTGAAAAACTATAGCAATCCAAAAAAAAAAAAAAAAAAAGCAAAAAAAAAAGCAAAACAACCCCAAGAAAAGCCTCATTATATGTCTTTTCAAGAATACCTAATTCTCTAAGGTTCTGTATTACAGCAACTCCAGCCAAAATTAATTGCTCAGGGGGAGGGAGGGTTTGTTTTGAGTGGGAAAAAAAAAACCATCCAGATCAAAACACAAAATGCATCTTTTTGTTTACAACTGAAAAAGGGTCCTTGACGAGTGTTTTTTATTTTTTTATTCTATTATTATTTTTGGTGTTGTAATTGTTTAGACTGCTGTGTACGGTTTGCTGTTTGTTGAACCAACAGTGTGAAAACCTGCCAGCATGGATTGATATTCCGCATGACACTTTTCCACCAGAGTGGACCTTTTGCAGTTTCTAAGTTTCTTGATGTAATAAATCACCAAGTGTGTAAGAAGAACCTGCTTGCTAGAAAGAGATAAGAGCTAATCCTTAATGATTAAGCATCCTACTTAAATGTCAAGCCTAGTCGGATCATGATTACATTTTTTTAAATAACTTTTTTTATTTAAGAAATGTTAGCTTTACATTTTTTTGCAAAAAAAAAAAAAAAAAAAAAAAAAGTTTATTCCAACAGTCTTTTTTTTTTATTTAACCTCCTATAAATTGCCTGTTCAAAGTCCTACTTTCTGACATTCACAAGGATGTAGATGTTATTGGCAGCTATGTCTCCACAGAAAGCTCCTACACTGTCATAGATGGCACCCCATTAAAATGTAGGCCAATTCTTTCTCAATGCCTTTCACACTACAAAAGCGCGCCAAGCAAGATTGTGATCTGGCATTGTAAAGTGGCACTTAAAAATAATTAAAATGCAGCTATTTGTACATATGTAGTGATATGGATTTACATAGACATGCCTTACTATTATTTTGATTTACGATTACTATTACTATTAGGAACAATTGTATTTTTCTCTATCATGATCGTGACTACCTTGCTCACTTTGGGTTTGATCCGGTTCTCACTGAAGTCAAGGGGAATCTTTCTGTTGACGTGAGTGGGAGCAGAATCAGAGCCAATACGTCCAAAAGCAAACCACCAAAGCAGAAGCCCCATCCTGTCCCAATTGAAGGGAGAAGAAAACACCCATTACTTTCAACAGGAGCAGGATTGGGCCCAAACGAACAGGCTTGTTTTTAATTTTGTTTTCATTTTTTAGGTCTCTCCCCTGTCCCAAATATCCCCCTCTTTCCCTACTTCCCCCTCCCCTTTTTGATTTAATTTGCAATGATCTTCTTCATTTTTTAGGGCAGCAGCTGAATGGGCCACATTTAGAAAAAAAAAAAAAAAAAAAAAAAAGTATATATATTAAAAAAACGGGAACTGTTGGATTACACCTTTGACATATCAGCAAATATCAATCAAGCTGAAGACTTCAGACTTATTCTCTCTTTGATTGTTTAGACTGTAACATTTCTTCAAGAAAAGTATCACATCTGCTGACTTCGAAGGACTTGCGCTTGAAAACAAACAAACACATAAGTAAAATCAGAACAGGAACAAGATCAACCAGGATTTCTGAAGAGACACTGATATCACCACAGCGGCTTTTCTTCAAACAGGAGATGCAAACCTGGATACTGACAAAGGAGTGCCTGTTTGCCACCAAGGATGCGGTTACCATGTGTGACCCATGGTAACAGTCACTGAGCATCTTTATCTGTCATTCCTTAGCTATATAGGGACCAAAGGACAAAATTTTTACCGCAGACTTGTAGCTGTATGTAAAATATGGAAGTTCTTTCCTTTTCTCTGAGCTGTTCCTAAAACAGTTTTTGAGAGCGATTATAAGAAATATGTAAAAACTAAAAAAAAAAAAAAAAAAAAAAGTAATAATAATAATAATGCTTAAAAGCTTTTAAAATGGCAAGATAATAGTTCTTTGATACTTTGGGAGGTTCTTTGGTTATACATTAATTAGAGTCTATGAAGCTTTCATATGGTTTTCTGTATAATAAGTAAGGATTGCGCTGTTAAAGGCAGGTAAGATGGATATCTATGAAAAGCAAAAAAAAAAAATAAATAAATACATAAATAAATACATTAAAAGGCATAGAAAAGAGAAAGGAAAGATGGTTGATATTAAAATGGAAAACAAAAAAGGTTTGTAAATGCTTCTAACTCTCCCCATTTAAAATCCTAATAGTTGTACAGAATTTAAAGAAAGAAAGTTTAAAATACCTATATAATAGAAAAAATTAGACAACATAAAAATAAAAAAAAAAAAAACAAAAAAGCAAAAAAAAATAATACTACATAGAAGTTAGCGTTAATGCTAAAAACAAAGATGTTGTAGAACTGTAATTTTGTAGAGTTTAGATTGAGCATAAATTCCTACTCTGCCAATGCTGTTGGATGCTGTTATTTATCGAGGAGAAAAAGGAGAGAAATGGCTATTTTGGCAGCTTTTTTAACTGCAAGCATTCCAGCTATTAAAAAAAATAAACAAAACAAAACTCGATTCTGTAGACAATGCAAATGGGAAACAAAACAGCTGTCTTTTTATCAGACGTTAGTTCTAACTTGAACAACAAAACACAGCTAAACGCTTCATGTCTTCATGATCTGCTGTCCGCAAAATTCCCATCATCCTATGCTTCAGTAGCTTCCATATTTGCTCTAGAAACCTTCAGGGCAAGGGTTAGCCTAGAACCTTAATCTTAAAAAATAAAAAAATAAAAAAAATAAAAAAAATAAAAAAATAAAAAATACAAAAAAAATAAAAAAAATAAGAATAAAAAATAAAAAAAAATCAAGTAAACCATAAGATAAAGAAAACAATCTCTTTGAAGAATTTCTGCAACTGTTTACAAGGAATTTTGAGAAACAGGGGGATGTTTAAAAAATAAAAAAAAGATGCTGGCTCCGTTTTTCTGTAAATAAATTTGCATATTTTGTAGGACTTTTAATTGTAATGATAGAGAAAAACAAGGAAAACTATTTAATGAAAGCACGATATTTATCTTTGGTAAATGACTTTAGAGCAGTTAAAAATAAGACATTGCTTTAAAAAATCTGACTCAGAAAAAAACAATGAATTATTTAAGAACACATATATTTTAAAGTATATCATATTTATTATAATTTATTTTCACAGTCTTAAAACTTGATTTACATCATTCTCACACTTGTTTGCTTCAACTGAGCAGTGTGATAATTGTTTCTGATTCTTTATTCGGTTTTACTCCGTTTTAATGTTCTTGTTTGTTTTTCTTAGTATTTTTTTATCTTGATCTCAAACTTCTTTCTTCCTTCCTTTCTTTTTTTTTTTTCGTTTTTTTTTTTCTTTTGTCTTTTTTTTTCTTTTTTTTTTTTTTTAGATTCCCTACTGGGCCTATCCTCCCGTCCTTACTCTGGCAGATACCCCATGGGGATATTTGGGTATTCTACCTGAGTAAGGACAGCAAGACTGAGCCCACAGCTAGGAAGTACAGATGTGTAACGCAGCTGCAGTTCCATACAACTGCTCTTTCACTCTCAATTCCCTAAAACTCCTTGTAATCTTCTGTAATTATTGAATGACGCTTTCCAGCTTAGCCCTAAATAAAGCACAGTTTAAAAAAAAAAAAAAACGCCGTGCTCTTTACTTCTTGATGGCTTTCCTTAATGTGTTTGCTTTGAGAACAAAATGAATCTATTTCGACTCTTTCATTTATATACATTGTTTGAGTATCAGAACAAATCCCTTTGTTATATAAAACATATCTCATTGGATTGAATTAATGACACTGTTTCATTTAATGTCTGCTTGATATTCCGCTGTGGTTTACCTTAAACCTAGTAGGTTAGAAGATCAAATAATGGTACATACAAATTAGAGTCATTGTAGCTCCCATTTGAAGCCTGTTGTTTGATTTCACGCTCATGGTTTTTTCATGCTGATAAGTATCGAGGCCAAAGCTCGGGACATTGCTCCTCTTGCTGCTTTGGGACAACCTTGTGAAATTCAGCAGGCTCCAGAGATGAGCTTCATTTTCTTCCTGAGCATCCCTCACATCTCGTCTTTTGAATGATAGTGCATGTCCCCTGCCCCCCACCCTCCGAAATGGCTGTACCAGATCAGCTGAGCTGAGTCTGGGGTTGAAATCAGGAGTCTTTACATTTCCTTCCTGATTCTTGCAGCCGTGTCTGCATTTGGACAAGTTGCACCGGCTAAATCCATCTCTAAATGGGACTAATGGTGCTTGTCCATAATTTGAACTCCACAGATGGAAGGAGTTCTATTAGTAGAAACTCCTGTTATTACCCTTACGAGTTACTAATGTCTGTTCGGGGCTATAGAAATAAATGAAATGTAAATCAGGTGATGAATACAAGGAGGGAATAAGGTCATTTTTTTGTTTTGTTTGTTTGTTTGTTTATCTGCAAGTAAGGGTAAATACGGAGGAGCACATACAGCACTCCAATCACTGCACAGAAGATGCTCAGGAAAAAAATGAAGATGTGGGAATAGACTTCAAAAGTCTCTGACCTAGAAACGGAGGATGAGGTCTCCAGTAAAAACTTTTCTGCCCCAAAAAAAAAGGTACAGTAAAAAGGTTTCTGCCCCAAAGGCCATTCAGCCATCCAGCAGCATCCTGCCCTTAGCTGCATGGGCACAGAGCACATCCTCTGACATGGGTCAGTTTGAGAGTTAAAGGGCTGGTGAAGATCATCCAAGACCCTTCAAAGAGGGGAAAAAACATAACAACTAGGGGTCATTTTCCCACAGTGGCACACTAAGGGTGGCGCTGAAAGTTGGTGCCTGATTCCATCCCCATTTCTTCTGCTGCTCTCCCAGCTCTCCCTTGTGACCCCCAGGCTCCCCAGATCCCTTCTGTCCCCTGCCTTGGGGCAGGTGCTGCATCTCTGCAGAGGATCTGGGGATGTGCACAGTGTACCTGCAAGGACATGTCCACGTGGCCAAGTAAGATGGGTTTTATCCCTGGGGGATCCATCTGGGAACACCCCTGGCCATTGAGACACCTGGGGGCTGTTGGTCGATGGCTGTGAGATGAGATTTCGGAAACTCTTCTCAGGTACCCTGCAGTATGCAGGAGACAAAATATCCAGTGCTGGGGAGCAGCCACCTCCCAGAAGGAGGCCAGAAAATACTATTAAAGCCACCTGTGTGGCCCACAGGCACCGCAACGCTGCCCACCCACCTCAGGTTCGTTAACACCGGTGTGCAGGGGAATAACACACTGCTGTGACCAGGCTGCTGCCTGCACTACGTGGTCTTTACTTGCTGAACTCTGGTTATGGTGGAAACACACTAAAATGGGGTGTGCTGAAGCACAAATGTGGACACGGCCTTATGGTTGGCTAAACACCCTTCTCTGGGCTGCCCACACATACGTGCCCTGCTTTAAGATTTAATTTCTTGTTATATGGAGACACTGCGCTTCTGTCTGAAGGAAGCTCACCCCTTCACACTGTGTGAAGGTGCTATGAAGCAAAACAAACAAAGCTTTGCAGCACGGGTTGGTTTCAGCACAGGACTGTACTGTGGCCCAAAAAAAAGCCCCAGTCTGAAGTACTGAAAATGAAGAGAGAGGCCAAGCCAACCTGAAAGCCTGTAGCTGCCTGCCCACATGCACCAGACCACAACAGCCCAGGAACACTTTATTGCAGAGGTTCAAAAGCCACTGGCTGTTTGATGCTTGCTCCTCTCTCTTACTTGCGGCTGCTAAATCACATTACACGAAACTACAGGTTTATTGAAGGTCAAAGATCAATCCTTCGCCAAGGTGCTCCGTGGCACCAGTGTGATTACAGCACGCTGCAATCCCATCCCCATGAATAGCTGGGGGCAACCTTTGGTACATGTACAAGGCATGGCTTGCAGTCACTCTTTCTGCAGTCCCGTGGAGACACCTCAAGCATTAATCACACTTCTGTGTCTATAAGACATTAAATCCCTTCCTCGGTTCAATTTTCCGTATCAGCATTCCCTGACATAGCCACAGAGCCACTCTTCTTTTGCACACACAAGAGGAAACCTTTCCTCTTGCCACCTCCACACCATCCCCACTCCAAGCAGCTGTCCACTATACAAATTTATTATTGTTATTATTATTATTACTTCTACTATTACTATTATTAAAAGATGACCTAGACATTGAATGAGTCTACAGAGCTCTGCTCATTGACCTTTCCTGTAACTAACATTGACTGCTTGGAAATGTCCTCCTGAAGCAAGGTGAGGACTTTTCCACCTTTTCCACCCTTAAGCCTCCAAAAACACTTTACCCTTGTTGCAAATACACCAGGGCAGAGACTGCCCTGTGAGTCATGCCAACTATTCATGGTTTTGGTGCCACAAAGCAACTCAAACTTCACAAGACTTTTGCAAGTGGGTAAACACAGATCACTGGGTGCTTCAGCGTGATGTGCAAGCTCACGTGCAGCATCGCCTGCAGAAGGCCACTGATGCTGTTGTCTATGAAGGTCCCTAGGCAGATTCAGTTTGAGAATACCTGGCTTGTCCCATCACTCCAGAGCCAATGAAACAGGACTAAGCCACGGTCTTGGGCTAGTCAGCTGTGGGGTCTGAAAATACCATTTGGAATGTCACAGGTGTCCTACTTACTGATGAGAACAGACCTTAATTCAGATTTTAGTCCCAGGGCTTCCCTGTCACTACAGTAAGAACTGTCAATAGAGCAAACAAATCCAAAATAAACCTTTGGAAAGTACCAAATAGAGCCATTGTGCTCCATTTCTCGAGGGGGTGGCAGCTTGCACACTTACAGTCACCTCTGCTATTGTACAACCTTTCCTTAGTGCTCAGCCAACCTTGAACATCCCCTAAATACTTCTGAGGAACCTATATAGCACTGTCACTGATAAACCCACAACTGGTTGCAAGAAACACCTTGCTGTCAAATGTCCTCTCCCCGTGGCATTCAGAAGGCACCCTGAACGCTGGGTCATGATCTGGTAAGGTATGAACGTATGGGCTATCTCCAGCCAGGCACAGGCTGGAGGAGGAGGAATTGCTCCTGGTATATGTGCATACATACAGGTAAACATGCCCTCTTCCCATAAGCATCAGCCTCACGGTGTGTGGTGCATTCACATCGGAAACAATAAATCCAGGTTCAGATTATTCCTGTGCCCGGCTGTAAGCTGGGATTTATCCCCTGAGATGAAGAAAAAAATTGACCTGCCTCATTTAAAAGGCAGAAATAGGAACCGGAACAAGGAGCAAATGACTCCATAACCTCGTCAAGGAGACCCAGGCTCCTCACACTG